CATGGAATTCGGAGTTATTATATTATTCGTTCAAACACGAAATAATAATCTCAATCATCGCGGTCTTAATGTTACATGTACACTTACGAGTTCTAATTATAATGTGTACATTAAATCCATTCTTAGCACATGAACGGATAATATCTCGCTTCGTTTCGATCATATAGCATTAAATCTATCAGTGTTCGGAACTTAAACATTAACTCGTTCATTTCGTAATAATAAAGTATAATGTTTATTTGGCCGTTCGTCTACATTTTTTTTTTATTTTTCATTTATGAATCACCTCCGTTCTGCATAAATAAGGCCTTTTCAAAATGTATTAGGTATATTTTATTTCGCGTTTAAAACGTTTAAAATTTATTTAGGTTTAAAACCTATACTTAAACGTATCGCAATCGATATTTATTGTTTACGCGTAGATTTTCAAATAAACTCGAACGCCCCGAAAATCGTTCAAATGTATTATAAAAGCAAACGTCATTTAGACGTTCCATTTGAAAAAATCGAGTACCTTTCTTTCCGAACACTGACATTTACGCGCGACAACATACATCGCGATGATCGGACACGTTAAAAACGGAATTCGTCGTATCGCAGCATTCGAGCGTATTCTTATTATTTTTATTTTTTTTTATTATAACGTCCGTGATATGCGTGTACATCAACACATATTTTAAGTAATTTTCACTAGGTGGCACTTCGACAGAATTGTCAACCATCGTGGTTTACAGGCGTGGTATTCTTCTGCAGAGGAACATACAGGGAAAATCAACTGCTGTCACTACGGTCGTCATGAGAATGCGTTGATCAGTGGCACGATCACCCACCACTGGGCAACGTTCAATTGTCATTGGGAAGGCACTGGTGCCACGTACTTTGATTGAATGTGCTCCGGTGTACATGTAAATCGGACAGTTGCCGCGTGACCGAACACGAAGTTATTTATAAGTATTACAAGTATTATATGTATATTTTTTTTAAGGAATAGAATAGAACAGATGTCCCCGGCACGATGGCAGCGACGGAAAAATCACCGCCGTAACGTGTTCGCGGACGGAAAACCGTTGACGGCCTCGCCGCGTTCCGATTGACGCGGTCGCGCGCCGTTGCCACTACGTACCCGAACGGAGAACGGGATCGGGACGGTCGTCCCGGCCCATGTCTACGGCGACATCCGCACGCCCAACGACTCGCACATCCCTTCGTAGACCACGTACGTGACGACCGTCGACGGTAGCATTTTCGCTAAGCTCACGGAAACGCCTCTGTACAGGACGCGCACGTTGACCGACGACACGTGCCGCGTCCATTGGTCCGCCGCCGTCTTCGCGCCGTCCGCCGGCCCCGACGTACCTGTTCGTCCGTCGCGACACACGCAAGCGTTTTAAATATGGTTGCTAGGGCGCGTGCCCGTTGTCGCGTTCGGCCCCGCACGACTCGTTGCACTCGACGAGCACCGCGTGCGTTCACCAAGTATTTTCACTCGACGATCTCTGGTCGCTCTCACGCTACTCGCACGCTTGCCTATTGTTGGACTCGTGTCACGTTCACCGACAGCCGAACGACATGCGAACGAGCCACGAGCGACTCGGCGAGTAAAAACGATGTTTGACGAATTTAAGCACTTCCTGCACGACTCGTAAAGCATCACACGATTGACGGTTGTGTTCGCCGGGTACACGATTCGTGCGGGACCGGCTCGACGTTCCGAAGGGGTTCTCGAACGGGTTTCGGACGCGCGTTCGTCAACGCGAAAACTAATCGAACACCCGTCGTCCCCGGACGAGCAAACCGTCGTCGTCTTTGTTTTTTATTTTTCTCTTAGTTTTTTTTTCTTTTTTTTTACGTTTTCCCTCGTCCCTTCACCACCCGTCCACACGACGCGTGACTCGCATTGGCGGTGGTAGCACGTGCGCGCGTTTGGCACGTGCAACGTGCATCGCAGTGCGGTCGCAGGTTCGCGATGAAAAAATCGCGCGAGACCGTTGGCGTTGTCCCCACCTCGTCTCAGTGGTTGGTTGACTGAGACGGATTGTCGGATCAGCCAGCCGTCGTTGCGTGGTAGGTTTTGCGTTCCGAGCAGCACTGTAATATCGTTACGTCGCAAAAATGGGCGTTCGTCGTTTGGAGGGGGGCGAGGGCTAAAGCGGATTTCCCATACGCGCGTACACGTGTGTCCATGGAAATCGCAACAAATTTTTATGTCATGTTGCCCCCACCGAGAAATTTTCAGCACCCTATACACCGCAGTGCCGGATGAGAACAAGAGGAGGGGGAATAGGGAGTGGGAAAATGGATCTTCGCAAGCAATTTTACAACATGTATGTATGGTTTTAAGTAACGGTCACTAAGTTGCAAATTAAACAGCCAATCGGTCGTCGAAACCGTATTGATTGTGTTTTGATACTCAACACGATACGGTGGTGCTACGGCAGTTGTATAAGCTTTCACCCCTTGGGCTTACTGCTGTGCGAGGACGTGCCTTTTACCGCGAACGAATTCGGCCGTTTGATGTTTGAGCGCACGCTTACTAGCCATGCGAACGTGCGCTCACGACAGAGTACGGTAAGTGATAGAATATTATAAGTCTCATGTTCAGATAATGTAAGATATTAATATGGTCCGGAGTTTTTCAGGCTTTTAATGAAAATACCTAATCATAAGTCTGTCGATGATTTTCGACGAAATGACTTCTCGCTAAATTGCTTAATATTAACTATTTAGAGACTTCGCGGTCGGGAGGACGGGAAACTGTGTTACCGCTATGTTAGTCTTGTAACATTCTTTTTGGAAAATCGATATTCAGCGAAAGAAGTCTGTATTGTATTTTTATAAATATTGAACAGTAGTAGAACCAAATTTCATAATAAATTAGGTTGGATTTTTAATGTTATTGATTTTGCAATAAAAATAAAAGGTAATTAAATGACATTAAAATGTTATTATGTCCCATCATGTCATCAAACTATAATCGATTAAAATGTGAAAAAAATCCAAGTACTAAAATGCATATAAACTGCACACACCAGCAAATCCTATCAAAATATTTTTAAAATCATAAAATTTCTTTAAAATGCTCACTTAATTACCCAGTAGATCTTTCGAGACACCCTTACTAATGTTGATAGAATAACAATCGAATAACTAATATCGTATAATCAAAATGCGTTGAAATACAAGGTTTCGTTAATATTTCATTATCTAGCGTTTAAAAAACTCTTTTTGCGTCGGCCCGGTAAAAAATTATACTGGCCACAAATAAAATCTTATGAAAAAATCTTGTATTCAATTTTTATGCTTAAATATTAAAATTGAAAGTCTTATAAATTGTTTACTACAAATCACAATACTACAAATACGTTATTTTATTATTAAAATTAATATTAATATTTTTAATATTTTAATGAACATGTTCCTATTCAAAATATACTAACCGAGAACAAAGGAATACTATGAAATGGAACTGAAATTTTGAAGGGCAAAAAACTAAATAAAATTATAAATTAATAAGTACATAAGTTGTCTCCGAAAAACTTTAAGAATAGCCGTAATGACATGATCAAGAATGCCACGTGGGTCTATGGTTTTATTTCTTTGAAACAAGCAAGAAATGCAAGATGCTAATTCTTATCATTTTTAGTTAATTAACTATTACAAATAAATGTACAAAAGAAAATGAAATTTATTTTTCATCAAGATAATGCACTATTTAAACTTTACATTTAATCGGTTCGTTTTAGTTAACGTCCCAGGAAATGTTTACAGAATTCCAGGAATAATTATAACTACAGTTTTACTACAATATATTTGCATAAAAATATATTATTATCATTATCGTATGGTATTATATGCAAGCGTTACAAACTAGATACAGATACAATTAGATACAGACACAATTAGATACAGATATATATTTGATATTGTTTTATTATTGTGTAAATTGTTTATATGTTTAAAAATATATTTAAATCGTACTATGATAGTCGAGTCATTTGGATTTAAAATTCTAAAATGTATGATGACGACGAAAAAAAATCCATTCTAATTATTAATGATTTGACTAATCATTTATAATGATACTTCCAATAAAATATAAAATATGATAAATGTGTTTTTTATTATTATATAATTCTGTAATATAATTATAGATAAAGAGGATAAATAATATCAGAAATTAAAAATGATAATTATTAATTTTGATATCTAATAATATAGTCGATACAATAGTGATAGAACTGTTAGTGACATAAAGTATATTTAATATAATTTATTATTAGAATAATTTGGTGTTATGAAAAAATAAGAACATTATGGAATGAATTGTTTTTGCTAGGTAGCAGGGAAGAGAAAAATGAAGGGATTAATTATAGACTTAAAGTCCGATAGCAAGGCCGTATCTGGGGGGGGGGTTCAAGGTGCCTAGACTCCCTCCGAAATTTCTTCAATATTTTAAGAACGTTTAAAATACTTATTTAATTTTAATACCAACATAAATATTTTCAGTCAAAAATGACTTAAGCTCCCATTAACCGTTGACTGCTTTTAATTTAATATCATAATATCATATGAAAATATGATATTAATTTTAATAAAAGAAGATTTAATCTTTTTCTGTCTTATTTTTAACCAAATATCAAAAGTTAACATCTTAATTCAATAAAATTACAATATACATGTTTTAGACCACTCCCGAAAAAAATTTCTTTATACGGCCTTGTCCAATAGGAATGTGAATAGTTATATTTCAATACTAAAGTTAGGAGCTGGTTTGGAGCTTGTAAAGATGTAATCGGAAGTGTAGGAAATGGAACCAGGAAAGGGACAAGATGAATTTTACCATAGACTTGAGAGAGTTAGAGTGATTATTTCTATGACGTTTGGTGATAGATTTGAAGATTGGATCGCCTTTAAAGTTGGTTGTGTGAGCACCTAAGCAAAGGTCGCATTTGGCTGGACTGTTTCTATCTCTGAGAGCAGTCTTCTATCTGATGACTCTCCCCAAACTTGATGTAGCGAGACTCGTGATTACATTAATTACATGTATGTCCATAAACCTGAAAGTTGTGGCATTGTGAAAGCACAATTTTAGTTTTGTTTAGTTTTTAAAACTTTGATAACTGTATTCAGTAATAATATATCTTTATCATTATTAATTATATAAAACACAATATTATAATAATATTTAAATAAATAAAAAAAAATAATAATAATAATATTTTTCCAAGCATTTTTACGGTTTATTGATTTTCTCATAAAATTAACATTTTTGAAACAATTAGATATAAAAACTCGCGTATGAAGGCACTTTTAACATATTCAACAAATATATACCACCTCACCGTACTTATATGGCTAATATCATTAATATAATCGTAATCATTCATACGTGAATTTAATATGTATTCTATATATATTACTATATAATTACTTTTATATCAAAAGAAATGTAATAGACTCACACGTTGAAAAATTCAATTTAACATCATATGTTAACTTACAGGCTTATCATATAAGCCTGAGCTATATTCTGTTTTTTTTTAACATAATGCTTTCTAGCGTCGTTTTAAATTATTCATTTTACAAGGTTAATTTGTTAAAATATCGTAATTAAAATTCACTAAGAAAACATTTTTAAAAAATTTACTTATAAATTAAATAATATTTATTATTTTATTTATACTTCGTAAAAGACGATGAAATAAAATGTATTATTAGATTTGCCAAAGATTACTTTGTTTAACTTTCTAACTAATGTACTACAAAGCCCACAATTCAAAAACAATAGTGATCACCAAGGCTAGGATTTGTATGCAATAAAAAATTGTAAAATATGCTTTTTGTTTACCAAAATACCCAAGAATATGCAAAAAATATGCATTTAAATTTTTATAAGATAAACACAAAAATATAGTTACAAAAAAATATTTATTTATTGAAATACATCAGTGGTTGGCTGTTTGTCTTAATATATTATAATTGAGAAATAAAATAAAATTTATGTTTGGCAAAAAAACTAAGTTTTATACTTTAATCAGCATGGCTAGAATTAAATACGAAATATTAATATAAAATTATAAATATTATTTACGAAATATATTATAAAAGATTCATTTATCGCATTTTTATAATCGAAGTATGCAATAATATTAATTTTATTTAATATATGCAATAATATGCATTTTATCCAAAATATGCAAAACTATGCAAAATAAAAATACCAATTTATCTCATCATGAGGTGATTCATGGACATTTCTGTCAGAATCAATAATCAGAAGTCGCATAAGAAACATGCTGTTACATACGAATCCTAGCCCTAGAAATCACCTATTATATATATATATTAACATTAAAATGGGTTGATTAAAATAATTTTATTAAAATAAATCAAAACTAATGTGATATAATATCACGGTACGTGATACTTATGATTATAATGTATTCTCTAATTCAATGAATATAATTGCAATATTTTTAATGTTAAATCTTTTTGAAAACCACAGTGATACTTATATTATATTTTGTGATATATACCAAATATACATAATTGTATCGTACGTATAATTATATCAAATAAAGAACACGCCTTTATTTGATTTTTGTTTTTATTCATTTCACATACAACTAAATTCTAATCTGATAAAACAACAATATAATAGTGTATATCAACTATTAATATCTAATTATTATAAATAAGATACTATTTGCTTTTTACGATGATAAACAACTTTTTTTTAAATTTACCAATTTAAAAACCAATTTACAATTTGTAACTAAATATTTAATATTATAAATACGTTTCGGAAACGAAAACATGCTAAAGCTCACCATAGATATCACATTTATATTTAATTTTTGTTTTACTATTATTAGATAAACATAAAATTTTTTTTCGCTTTTCAAAATATATTTTTTTCGATTATTAGCACTCCCTTGTTTAATCCATCGATGTACATATTACAGTATTCATAAAATTAAAAAATTGTGTTTGATATGGCGAGTAAAATTTTTTGTAACTTATAGAATGGAAAAGTGGTGCCAAACACGAACTCTAGGTAGTTCAATTGAACTGTCCAGAAAATTAGAATAATAAAAAATTAATAAAATAATATCATTAACAAAATCTAATTAATTATTTTATAAATTACTTAATAAATGTTTTTTATTTAAAATATTATATTTATTTATAGATACTTAAAAAAAAAAGGGTATTTAAAAGGGTCGGGTAGGTTAATTTAAAAATTTGAACTGGTTGTTTCAATATTATTCAACGTCACTGGATCGAGTTCGCTTTTATTTTGACGCTATAACAACATAATATTCGTTCACGTAAAATAAATGCATCAGTGGCCGGAATATGATTTAAACCTATCACAACAGAGGTTATTATTATGAAATGCTTCGCAAAAAAATGTTTTTTGTGATGGAATTGTCCAGTAAATGTTTCAAGGTAATCTAAATGTATAGCAAAAACAAGCGTGAATAAAATGAGTTCAATAATTCTTTTCATTAGACAATAATGCGAATATCTGTATGGAATAATAAAGTTAAAGTATTAATTAATAAACCCTCGTAATAAAAACATTTTAAATAAAAATGTTGGAATATACTTAAGAATTTTTGATTGGTACAACTTAAAAAATATTAAAGTAATTGATAGCATTATTTAAGTTAACTGATTTCATAATGTATTTATATATTTTACACCTGATAGTATTTTAAAATTATTATTAATTATTAATTATTAACTTATAATTCTCATTGAAGCTTGCGCATAACTTATCACACGATTTATAATCTGTATCCCTCATAAACGCGAGAATTTATTTTAACATTAAGTTGTACGTAAATACATTTATATTATACATATTTAGTCATTGCGGTTGACTTAGCACGCATTTATTCCACGTTTACAACGAATTTCTTTGTTTTTGGGAACAATCAAATAAATTAAATTCCCGTATTTCTCTCAATCTTACCACATAAATTCACATTCCCTACTAGGGATTACACTGAACAATAATAAATATTGTTATTGTTACAAAAATCGTTGCATTTCATCAGAAAATAATGTACTTATTGAACGGTTCTGTCGAGATTGTTTTTATAAAATAAAATCTTTAGATGTACAAACTTCATACCAAAATGTTGCTGTTTACTTTTTACATTATGTTTTATCGTTTTCAATATACTTTTTAATCTTCAATGCTATTGGTATATAAACAGTATTCCGACTTTAATACACATTATTTACACGTAAAAATTTTTTCTGTTTAAAAAATAAAGGTTATTAAATCATAAACATAATTTCGTTGATACTCATAGAGCGCAAAACTAATCAGTAAAGTTACAAACTGTACAAAATCGGTCACTTCATTCGCTAATTTATTTACCACTTAAAATTCAATTCCAGTTTTTCGATCAAAATTGTGTACATGATTTTTAATTACATAAGTAAATAAATAACTATTAATCATGAAAAAAAAAATCTAGAAGACCAAAAGAACCATATTTAATAATAATAATAAGTTTTATTTGATAAACAATTTAACTTTTAACGGTTGTAAATAAAACAGTTCGCACAGACTATTTAAATATATAATGAGATCGTTGGCATTCGCGTAGTCTGGAGGAGGAGGAACATTGCATACTCTGATCATCTATGGACATAACAATTTAGATTTTACTTTTTTTGAGACTGCTATTTTTCTTTATAAGTTCTTTATACTTAAATACACAATTTTGCCCCCCCCTCCCCAAGATTACGCACATGGACCAAATCACGCAACGCTAACATAATAGTTCGTAGACACAGTTTTTTTGCGATGAATAATGAAATAATGATCTGAATTACTATATTTTTCTACGATATCTGAAGACTGTTTGAACCTGAGTGATATAAAGAAATTATAAGTTGACTATCGATTTACTGAGGTATTAACACCCCATAAACAAAAAACTGCTGTCAGGAAAAAATATTCGTTTAGGGATTGTGTGGTGAAATAAGAACACATTATATTGTCTTATCGCCGCAGTCGAGTTGTTTTTATCTACAGAAATGCTGGAAAACTATTATGATAATTATTATTTTGAATTAAAAAATACTGATGAAATTAATGAATAATTCAAACGTGCACGTTTTCGAATGTTCCCAGAACTCCATCGCAATAGACATTTAAATGCGTATATTATGCTGATGTAGCTGCATGAACGATTTAATTGACAGCTCAAGAAATAAATAAAAATTACGATAAGAGGAAGCATATTTTTTATCGGCCTATGGTATTAAAAATAAAAGAAATGAGTGTGAATATATACATGTATAGACACACACACATACTCACGTACTATATATATATATATATATATATGTATATTTATAGACATTTACATGAACAATAAATTTTTGTTTAAATTATGTACTTGAGTGGGTCGAGTGAATGGAAATTCTTAGTTTGACTGCACATAGCGTATGGGATAAAATATACAATCTAACGGGTTTTCGGGTAATGATCGGAGAGAAAATATAAACGAAAGTCAACGGAGATAATAGAATACAGCGTTAACGTCTGATGATCACAATAAAAAATGTTGTTGACGATCGTAGGTAATAGAATCAACCTTCGTTCGAGACCGATTTCGAAATAATTCCGCACGACTCGTTATTATATAATCACCGAGAGCGTATCGTATCCTATACTACACTTAATGTTATTTTATGTATATAAATAATGGATATTCATTATCGACTGCTACAGACCTGTTAGACTCCTATAACCTGTAATGTAACCTTGTACCTGATTTGTTCCCACTTGCAGTACGCATTATTGCGAGGCGCATATTAGTATTATTTTGTCTCCTAGTCTAACCTCTCTCGCTTACGCGTTAGTATGTACGTTAGCATGACCACAAACTACGTGCGCAGTGAAAAAATATTACATCAACAGTCGAGTGTTTATATACAGTACACTACGGGCGTACAGCGTGATTTTTAAATCATATATAGGTATACATTATATAAACCAGTGTTTCCCAACTTATGGGTCGCTGTTCGTTAAACTAATGACAAGTAAAATATCTCAGTTACTAAAATATAATAATATTTATTTCTGAATTTAGTTTCGTTGTATCGCGTTAAAGTATATATATTATGTTACATTAGGGGAAAAAATGATACTGTTATGCGCCTCGTATAATAACGCGTACTGCAAGGTAATATTACAGTGCGGGTCTATAGAAATCAATAATGACCGATAATGAAATATATATATATATATATATATATATATATATATATGTGATAACATTTTTTATATTAAAACGTTTTGTTTTGAGGGTCTTCGACCCAACACAGAGGACATTTATGGGCCACCTTAGCATACATTTTCGGAAATACTATCATATTCAGTAATGAAAAGAGCAATTGTATATTAGCGGCCATAACTATACACAACGCGCGTGTATTTTGTTTTTATCTAAACGCAGTGATGCATGTTGACCGAATGTTATACTCGAATGTTAAAAATAAAGGAAGAAACACAGCTGAATTGAACGCGTTTATAACGATATAATGTTTTGGCCTGTTTTTCAAAAAAGAAAATGATCTTTTTATAGTTCACATTCGAGCATATGTCTTACGTCAATGCACGCAGGGAGAGAATTTGTCGAAACAGTTTTATAAATAATTATAAGGTCTACGAATGTTATTCGAGAAAAACTTGAGCAAGCATGTGTTTAATTCAGATCGTCATATGAAAACAAATATCTGGTTAGACATTATGATTAACTAAGTATTATTCTCTTATCAAACTTTCGGCTGGTAAATATGCGTCAAGTTGAAGGTAGAAAATCGAATACCAAAAGTGCTTAAGAGATGATATTTTTTCGTTTCTTTAGTCCGAGACAATATTGTCTTAATACAATTACACAATATTTACATTTAGTACAAATTTTTCGTATTACTTATATATACATAACACCTAATATATTTAGTATGGATGTACCGAAACAAGCTATGCATTGGTTTTTGAACGAAAATATATCCAGTGGAAGACATGAATCCAATCGTTCATCGTAACTTTTTTTCGAGTTCTACGTGTTAAGACAGACTATACATGCGCAGCAGCGCTAATTCTATTATTGCTATTAATAACGTTGCATACTGACCATTTTCGATTTGAAGTCTAGTGATGATCCTGGATATCGGATAGCACAGAATCATGCCCACAACGCTCGAACACATGGCTGAAATCGAGTGTACCATCCACTCATGACTGACGGGGAGCCAAGCGCCCGCGGCCATGCGATCATACTGCAATTGTTTTACATGTTCGTAGGTCATTAAAAAAATGCCCGTGTACACGAAAATGCTTGCCATGTTGGGCCAGAAACCTTTGTAGAGACCGCGAGCACCATCTGTCCGGTAAGTTTTGGTCAGCACGTCCGCAATACCCAAGTGGTTGCCGACGATCAGACGCGTTTTCGCATTCTGAAAGCAGTCGAAAGTAAAAGACAAATACACCGTATTACTGTCTCGATTATAAGACATTAAATATTATTTATAATTATGATGATGTCGAAACAATCGTTCAACGACGTCCGTTTAATAGTAGCTTGTTTGCTGAGCGTTTATTGCATTTACTAATTGCAAGATTTTGCGTGCACATTGTACTCGATGAATGATTTGTCCACGTAAACTCGTGGATGTCTTCCTCCTCCTCCTCCATACTTTTTGAACAGGAAAAATAGTTATTTAAGAGTAAATACTTAATTTTCCTTATTTCACGTTCTCCTTTATCAATCAAAATGCACTATTAGCGTATTTATCACTGTACTATAGCATTAATATTCGATAATATGTGTTTATTACAATAGCACTAGAAAATACACGCTTTTTAATTCTAGACTAAACGATAAATATGTTGATTTTACAATGATTTTTCCTGCTAAAAATCTGTACCAAAAATCTCACAGATGAAAAAAAAGATCGGTTAATGTTTTTATTTTCAACTAAAAAAAACAACGAAAAATACAACAAGCGATAACGTTTTTAATTCTGACATTTTCATTCGAGAATACATTTTTTAATTAAATGAATATTTTCATTTTGATTTGATGTGGCTGAAGAATTTATTTTGAATTGAAATTTAATCCATTGTATTGAACACGGAAAAACTAGAAGTTAATTTTATTTTTATTAACAATGAACATTTAATGTTTAATATATAAATTTTTTACAAGTAGAGCCTATTATTTTTATTTTTTATATAATTATTTATATTTTTATCTTTAAAATATTTACACAAAAAATAAATACACCACTTCAAACTTATACCGAAGCTTATACATTTCTGAGTTTATGTAGATGCAATTTTGTAAATAAGATCCAGAAGAACGGCAAAAAATATAGAATTGCTAAATAAAAATTGAATTTTCAAAGAAAATGAAAATTTTTTTTTTCAATATAAGAACGTTTTATGCAATATTACACTTACTTTTATTTACGTTCTATGGAATACGTAGTTATACGTAGTGTGTATGTAATAATTTCAATACAATAAGCCACACACTATATTTATAAGTGTAAAGAGAAAAAGATATATTTTTGAGAAAAAGTAATTTTGTAACTATGAATATACAGTCAACATTTATTAAAGACATTATATACGATTAATATATGTTACAGGCAATATGAAATACCGAGCAATGTACAAATTGCTTGGTTAATTTCGCCCTGCCTGTCCTGAATCTCGAATATAAATAAATAATTATAAATAACAGTGTCTTGAAAAGCAAGAAAATTCGACTGCTTAATCGTAAATATTAACTATTGTTTGTGTATTGTTGTCTGATTGTATTGGAAAAGTTATTACTTTTATCAATGTGATATAGGAAAAAAATATAAATATATAACATAGAATAATATAATGAGTAAAAATATTATACTGATATTTCATACTTTTTTCTGTATTATAATCATATTATAAGAAATTATTAGTAAAATATTTTACCATAGACCAACCACCAGTGTGCGCCCTTTGCACAGGAAATTACCCAGCCAACTATCGAGAATGTCAAATCCACAAAGACCTTCAACGCTTTCATTATGGTAAAACAATAGCAAAATCAAATACTTTTTAATTGTTTTTTAAAAACATTTATAAAATGTTTTCATGTCACATCCTGATATTTTACCTAGACTTCAACACTCTAATACAGTCGATCAATTTCGCATTCCCTTCCCTGTTCCACTTCCCGTCAAACCTGACACACCGAATATAATAGAATTTTTAATAAAAAAAACTAAAAGAAGGTAAAGCGCTAGGTTACAACTTAATATCAGATAAAATGTTAATTAAATAAAATTAAATAAATTCTAATTACCAAAAAAATCTCTTGTACTAATTACTTTTATATTCAACTTCATGCTAAAACTTTTGCACTTTCCAATAATATGGAAACTGTCCACTTTTATACTCATTCTAAAACCAAATAAGCTCAAGAATTTAGTTATTTCATATGGAATACTATATGAACAATATCTATCACTGTTATTAGGTACACGTTTCATTATTACTTATGTGTACTTGTGTAGCCAATATAATTTATTCGTCAACAAAAATAGCGTATTATCCTTACAGACATTACATGCATTGTAATTGTTTAAATACAGTTAATTTTTTTGTTTTTTTATAAATATATATTACACTACGTGTAACCCAATTTAGTTCTAAGTTTGAAGTCGAGAGCAAAAAACTCATTACATGTGTATCATGATGTGCGGGCAACACGAATGTTGTACTTTAATGTCAGCGAACAAAGTATTATAAATGTACGAACTGTTTGCGGTACGCACGCGCACGCGTATGAGAATCGTTCGGGTTTGTCCACAATGGTACGCCGTTGTACTGCGACGTACCGAGAACGAGTAGAAAAGAAAAAAAAACACAATAATACTCCATTGTGCCGTAACAGTAGTAGCAGTGGGCCACGGGGTACATACGGGAAAACATATTGTAATTATTTGTCGTTTCTGTTCTCGTTATTCAAATCGAAACATTCAAAATACAAACATGTATCCCCATACGGTTTCAATAAGCTACGAAATAATATTCAAAAACAAAAAACTACGATGCTAAAAAATGTAAAATAAAAGAAATTATCTTTACTGATATTATTCGTCAGCAGGTAGGAGTCGTGTATTTACGAGTGACATGTATGGAGGATAGATACTCTTTTTTTTTTTTTTCTATAAATATTTTTCAATCGTGACACTACTTTTATGTTTACGAATACTTGAAAATGTTTAAATATGACACAGTTAAATGTGTATGTAGGCTTATCCCCTCTTGTTAAATACTTAAATACATCACGGGTGGATAAACGGGTATAGTGTAGACCAGTTTTATTACATAAACCACTAAGATTTTTTTTTTTATTCAAATAGCTACTCTCAAGTATGATTTCGATTTTGTAGAGAAAAACAAATTATGTAATACTACTATTACATTATATATTATATATACTATTATGAATAATAATTTGTTCATTTATCAATATTCAAATATAACATTAATCGCGTTGTATAAGAAATACTAAACAACAAATGATTTACTGTTTTGAAAATATATATGTTAATAATATATAATATATTTATCTTTAAATTAATATGTATCTTATTGTAATCAATTTCTATAGTTGTATCAGTTATTTGTTCACATAAACTAAAACTTTTTCATAATTCATTACTATTGCATATCATACTTTAATAATATGTACTTAATTATTATTTTTATAATATTATATAATTTTTGTAAAAATGAAAAATTTGTACTCTTTGTCCTGATAAGAGAGTCAATAAACTTATTATTATTATTAAATGGGTTTAAGTCCAATAGTATAAGAATAAAAAATATTAGTTTTCAATTAACATTCTGGTTTTATTTTATTTACCCAGTTAGCACACGCATACCAAATTGAACGAAATCGATTTCATTAAAAATTATCATATAGCAATTAATTCTTTTGTACGCAATAAAACTCCTACCAAAAAAGTTTTTGGTATTAGTTGTGACACGTTTTATAGCAAGCAAGCAAATCCCGTGTATTTTTCCGTATATTTTTTATTTTCGTTATCAATACCATTTAATGTAAAATTATTATAAATAATTACTGATTTTTTTTTTTTACATATAAATGTTTCAACAACAAGATTATTTACCTACATTTATATATTAATAATTACTAATTAATACAATTCAAAAATGATGTTATCGCTTTAATTATGTTAGTATAGTTTACGAATGTGATCAACATACATTTCAAAAATTACGTCATTATTAATGACCTAATAGATAACAAATTCCGAATAATGAGGCTAATTCGAAATAACTGAAACAAACATTCCAAAGAAGTTAGTAATTTATGTAATTTACGAAGAAAAGTTACATTGTAAGCCATGTCAAAACAAAGAAACAATATTTTCAAAGGAGTTCTATAATTATTAATCATAAATTTGTACTTAATCTACTTATGCCAAATCGTTTAAAAGTGAACAGATTATAAGAGTCGAATTATAAGGCTTAAAATGTAACTACTGATACAGCGACCGTTTTCAAATATAAAAGTTTGTAGTTAATTTACCACGGTCACCGTTTTGCAATATTTTACGTTTTTAGTTTGATCAATTGTTATACATTTCTTAAATTAATAAGATGTAATCAATTCCTTTATCGTAGTTAACGTGTTGTACATTCTTACTATATATATATATATATATATCTAACCTATAGTTATACCTCACGATGTTTATTTGTAAAATCAACTAAAATAAATAGATTTGTCCACATTATTCTGTATTTTGTCTTAGAGATTTATTGAAATACATTCTAACACTAAAATTTTCAAAACAAAATATTCGGCTTTTTAAACGTCGATAATATTAGGTATACTAAGACCGTCCTAAAACGTACGATGGGAAAGTTTAGTGTTTTAGTTACTTAAATATTGTGGTAATCAAACACGATCGCTTTACGATTTCAACTGCAAGTAAATTTAGTTTACATGGCACAACCATACTGTGTAGTTCACGTTCGTCGAGTGTCACGATTTTTATTGTGCATGTACAATAGTGTAATAATATGATAAAGGTGAATAAATTATTATTATGTACTCAGAATACCTTGGTGTGCGTTCACTGTTTTATTTGCATATTGTGTAGACATGCTTTATCGGTGGGTACGTGTGTGTATTCAAATGACAAAAAAAATTACATTGAAAGCAATGTTAAGGGGGGGGGGGGTAACAAAAAACTATGGATTATATTTACTCAAGATATCACAATCATTATCTTAGTACAGCTCACTAATAATGCATATTACGTACTCGCTCGTATATATATATTAATATATATTTAATCGTATATATATATATTATATATGTTGTAAATATTTTATTTTTTAATTCCTCAATCGCTTAAGCACCATAGAAAACTAATTCGTAATTTACTTATAATCATTATAAAAACTAACATATTTGTTGAAACAATTACATTTTTATAAGCAAAGCAAGTAAGGCCATTTACGATTTCTTCAAAGCAGTAAAAAATATGTAAATTTTGAATTTTAGAATTATTTATTTTAGCTATAGTTAGGATAATATTTGTAAGACCAAGAGAAAAAGCAATCTTCCTAGTCGTATGGCAGAACAGAATTAGATGTGAAAAAAGTTGATGCCGAAGTGCGCAAGCGCGCGCGCAACGAGATCGATAAAGCTGTATCGTCAAACCAGCCGGGTTTGCCCGGGCTCGCCTGAGAGATGTTTTACCGTTTCAGATTAGAGCTTTATAGATGTTACGGGGTGAAACAAACGTGCTGAAAAACCTTTTTTTTTTCCCTCAATTTAAAATAACAATCCATAACTTAGGGATGGAATAAGCTTATGTGGTTAGCGCAGAATACGTACTAATCAATCATACACGGAATCAGTAGTATAATTAAATATTTACTGACAATCTTTGATGCGAGAAGTTTAGAGAACCTTATACTAATTTTAGTGAATACCGCACTACGTCGAGTTTCGGGACCCAGACGTGTTTATCAGGTACGCATCGCACGCGGAACGTCATATTTTGTATTTTACGTACCTCCAGCGGGTACATCAACGTCTGGCTGCACACGCCCGCCACGGCTCCGGCCGCGAACCTGTCGCTGCTGGTCAAGTTTTCGTCGCCGTGGTACGCCTTCAACCGCCGTTTCACGTAGTCGTACAAGCTGAACTTGACGGCGAACTCGGGCGACGACTTGAGCACGTTCAGCCCGTTGCCGCGCCAAAACCCTTGCCAAAACCCTTGTTTGCAGTACACGTGCCGTACGGCCGCGCGAAACCCGTCGCATTCGGTCACCTGCGCAAACGCGTGCGTGCATTTTGTAGTACGGGCCGTTAAATCGAACAATAATATTCATGACGTGATGTCCGCGCGCGCACTGTTCAATATTTGTCGGGTACAACATACGATTGGAAAACGTTTGTTTTTGAGGAACATACGTTTTATATTTGCTCCGTGTCGCACACGGTTGAAAAGCATTCAACGGAAAATATTATAAAACGTGATACAAAATGTATTTACGAACTTTATCATCGTGTCATTAAAAACGTAAATTAAATAAAATGTACGTACATAACATAAAAGTAACAATGATTCTCTCGTTGTATTATAAAAACGATTTTTTTTCAATTGATATTGATTCATCCAAATCAATTGTAACCGCATTCAGTCCAAAAACGTGAAAGTTCGGATGTTAATTTTTTTTTTTAGAAATTAATATCTACAAGCATCCAATACAAAAAAAACATGTATACAAAATATTTTTGAAATATTTTATAATATTTTAATACTATAATCTGTTCGTAAACTACGTTTATATAATTACGTTTTATCGTGTCACACTCTAATAATAATTATATAATTATCATAATTTTTTTATGGCTTTTTCTCAATTAATATAATCGAAATCCCACTCTACATCGAAAACGTTGGAATAACGAACAAATAAATAAATAACAATTTAAAATATTTAAAACAATTCCAGTTCCTACAAACCTACAAGCATTTTTTTTGCATACAAATATCTGGGTGCTCTGTTATTTTTATCAATCTCAAAATTAGTTTACAATAGCACATTTCGAATACATATAATACTCGGGAATACCGAAACCTTTGTTTTAATGAGCTACTGGAGTTATTGTGTTACTCATCACCAGTTACTTTTTTAACAATTTTCTAATGATTCTTACAAATATATGGGTGTCTAGGCCGCAAGATATTTTGTTCTCACACTACAACTTGATTAGTAGCTACGACACCACTTATTACTTATTGACACCGTACTTTTCGAGAATCCATATACGACTATCGTTAAAAATCATAATTTTTCGAATATCATAAAAGAGTCGAGCAAAATAAATATTATTTTTTAATTACTGACGTTGAAGAAGTATTGGATTTCGATTATATAAAATAATTAAGTACAATCATTATTATCAAACAATGTCAGTATTTTTTCTCATAAGATGACGTAATAATATATTTATCTTTCAATTTTATTTTTTTAATTGGTTCAATAATGATGAAATTATATAGTGAAATTATATATGAAATATTATGAATTATATATGGATTATATATGAAATTACATAATCATGGTTATTAATTTTATCGTATATATATTATACATTAAAATATAAGTAGCGTGTAACATTATTTAACTATGTTATAGCACACATTATTATTATTACAATTATTTTAATTATATGTTATAAATTTGATAATTAAAATATGTACAATAACAAATTAAAAAAAAAAAATTCTGGACCACAAAGCATTGCCAGTATTGGTACATTTGTGAATCTAAGATTAATCTTATATTCCATACTCATATAATACTGCAGTAATTGCATTATTCACTTCACAATGTAGGTATGTAGAGTTTTAAGATTATTTAAACATAGGCACGTACAGGTTGTATATGCACTTTGTAGTATTTAATTCAGTCGTTGCATGTATGATCAGTGACTTTTTTGTTGTGCATTCCAATAACAAATATGCACATCAATTCTAAAACATGATGAACATGTTCATAGATCATGTTTTTATTAAGTTTATATAACATATTAATGTTCCATACGTATGGGTCATTTTGATCTACGTGTAAAAACAAATAATAATTACACATAAGACCTATGTGAGTGACTAAATCGATAAGGATGACTTTTAAAACAAACATTACGTATTATGGCTGAATAATTTATATTGTAGTCTATAGGTACGTCCCCTTTTCGTTGATTGCTTTTTCATAATTAAACCTTCGTAAGGCCAAATTACCAACTCAAAACATCTAAAAATGTATCGTGCGAGAAATAGGCAAGCCTCTATTGTGTCAGCTTTGTATGCTATTGTACTTCTTCTATAGTAAAAATAATACTAAGAATCACAGATGCAATAAGAACAATACAAACTTATTTTATGTAACGCCGGTTAACTTTATAGAAGAATGTTTTCTCCTCAATCAAATATTTCTAATATTTTTTATGTTACCAACCTAATAAATTATAAAATATTAGTATTCGCACTAATTCGTCTAATTAACAACTTATAATAATTGTTTGTGTTATATTAAAATATATATTAGGCACGTTTGTAACATTAGGCTAGAAACTTACACACGTATATTCGTATATTTGCATTTACAAGTATTTACAATGTCTGCAGAAAGACCAAAAAATTCGGTAATCTTTGTTATATCAGTGGTACACCAACGTCCATCTAAAACCTTTTTACTATAAATTTGCGAGCAAAGTCTCAAATTTGTTTTTATAGTGTTTATAATTAATGTATGTTCTATGTGAAGTTTGAATACAAATCCGGTTAATGATCAACGTTAAAAAAAAAGACAAAATAAATTGTAGATATATACGAGTAATAATGAAAGCTTTAAAACAATTATTAAAATAATCAATATTCATAAAACCAAAATTAATTCCTGTTTAAGATTAAAAATGATTTTTATTCATTAATGAATAGTTTAAATACACTCGGAGAATAAGATTTACATAATTAAGCCTGATAATTTTATGACTATGAAATATATTATTTCTTTATCTGTTCTAAATTATGTTGCACAACACAATGTTAAACGAATACAATAAACGAACAATGATAAGAAGTTAAAGGTGTTAATTTAAATATTTTAATGTTAGCATTTATTATAGATTCAACTGTAGGTTAGGTACATAAATTAAAAAAAAAAATAATAGAAATAATAAAAAATATTAAAAAATTGACAAATAAAAATATAAGAAATGTATTTTCTTGTTCAAAATATTTCAAATGTTCTTATATTATATTTATATTTATGTTTATAATTTATATAAAAAATAATTAAATGCTTCTTATATGTATTTATAGTGTTATTAATCGTAGTGAATTAAAATAGCATAATGTTTTTTTGTTGTAATAAAACTGCCGATATAGTTGAAAAATTAGAGTACTTATATAAACTGAACGGCTTTCAATATCGGAAAATACCAGCCTTTCGAGCTAAAATGGCGTTGTTGGCCGGTGACAGGTTAACGAGGGGGGTTATCATGCACGCGATCAATAAAGCTACCCAACGATCACCATGGTGACGATCCGGGTCACACTGTTTCACGATTTATCGTATATAATACTCTAGAAAGATAATTCTTTGTCCACGTTTGGTAGACCAGAATAAGTTTACGTCAATATTCGTCCGTACATACACAAAACGCGTAGATAATATAAAGTAAGGGTTCTGGATTTATTAAACCAGTGGTTCTTAAACTGTGCTCCAGGAGACCTAGGGCTCCGTGAGCATATCTGAATTAATTAAATTAAAATATTATTATAATTCTTAGTTACCGAGGAAAAACACTAGTATTATTACTTAAATTGCGTAATGAATCAGTGACACCTCTCATTTAATTTACAACTCAAACTTCTGAGAAAATTATTAATTATTCCGACTTCATTACTTGGCTGGTAATTTCATAAAATGAAATGTGGTAAATTTATCAATATAACGTAAAATGACAAAATCCGAGCTTCTAAAAAAAAAAATTGTTTGTCCTGTGTTTTTTTTTAAATGAAATATTGATAATAATTATTGTCTCGAACATAAATTCCTAATTTCCGGCACTCCATAATTTTTTTAGAAACATAAGGGCTCCGCGAACAAAAATGTTTGAGCACTGATATATTCCATAAATACACTTTTGCAGACAATATACTCTTATACATTAAAATATTATGCAGATGTTATTTTGAAATAATCGTCAAACTTCAATATCTTATTTTATCTAGTATAAAGCAATTTTTTACCAGCCAACTATTTATAAAAGTCATACAAGCTCTTAATTGTGAGTACAAATATCGAAAATAAAGTTAATTTATATATAAGCTTCATTTTTATTATTATTATTAATTAATAATAATAAAAATGAAATGAAATTAAATTAATAATAATTAAATTAATTTAAATTTAATTTTACCGAACTCTAATTTTAGTCTACACTTAATGACATTATATTGTATTGACATATAATATGTGTACACGGGTGTGTGTAGGGTTTTTTGACACTCACTTCGGTTGTGAGCACAGAGGGTCGACAACAATGAGCGCTGGTAAACCGACTATTTTAACATCTGCTCGACACATGCGGGGATAACCTACAGATGATAGTTTATTGCGATCGGATACATTATTTCAAAACGTGTACACTTATTTAGTTTAAAACATTTACTCTTCACGAGTTTTCAAACACGCCTATCGTTTTGTTCGTATGCATCCACTCCAACTGTTCAAATAGCTGATAAAATGTTACTCACTGGTTCGTTTTATCGGAGTTGTATTTAAACAGCGATAATAAAATTTTTCAACGTTTTTATTTCGGCGTCAAACGCGTGTGTTACATTCAACGAGAGACAATATTTGTCTGCAAACATACATCGGGCAATGCATTATCGTACAGGTATACCACTGTAAAAGTGTGTTCAGCTAGAATGTGTTGCCGCGATAAGGCCAATTTTTATTTAACAAAAAAATACCAATGTCAAGAAAAGCGGCGTAAACACGTGATGATAAAAAGAAAAAAAAATCTCGTAATTGTGTCGTATCACTGTAGGTACAACATTAGTAAATTATGTGTAATCTAATCGGTCGAATTAGTTAATCGTACATCGAATTTAATACACCGAACATTGAAAATTCATGAAAAAGCTAAACTTTTTTATAAAAAATTTCATAACTGTCTATCTTCCCATTCAAATCCTCTCATGAAGAACTTGTCATCCCTCATAATCCGAGGTAGCCTCCAAAGACGACTCAAACGCAATTGGTGCAGAGATTTATTACTTAAAAAAAAAAAATAATAACTACACATATAATTAAATCAGACAAGATGTAACCAAATTCGAAAGTGTCATCAGTGGGTGGCTTCTTTCCCCAAGTTATAATTTCATGTTATTTGTTCTCTCATCGAACATATACTTATTGTGTCTATATGTATTATGATATAGTATATGGTATATTTTCTTCTAAAAATAAAAAAATACACCGAACGCTACGTTTTCTGCAGCGGTAATGTATTTTGATTGCATTCGATTTGATAATATTCCATCATTACCGTAGTAATAGATAATAAATCGAACGCGATAAACATATATATTTTATACGTTCGTGTGCGCGTGTAATAATAATTATTATTACAACTTAAATTTTGAACGTTTCAATTGTCTTGTTGCGTGATGATGTCAATGGGTTTTTTTCGTTGGCAGAGAAAGTTAATCGACATGACGAACGGATTTACGATCGCGCGGAACCACCGGGACTGTTTCATCTGTTTGGCCTTCGACCAATCGTCAACAACCACAATGGCAATTGCATTAACCGTACCTCGTGATTGGTGTGGTGCACACGATTAAATGATTAAACAGTTTAATAATATTAACAATAACTTTTGGCAATAATATAGTCTTCTTCTTCGCGGCCCATCAAAACTCTAACCCCGAGTCTTTGCCATCGTAACAGTAATATAATAATACGCACGTCGCGTCTCCGTGTCCGCCGTCTGTAACACTATTGCAAAATACGAATCGGAGAAAAAAATTAACACGCGGCATTTAGAGATCTTTCCAGAGATGTACGCTGCGAGTGCGAGCGCGAATGTGTTTTGCTTGTGCAAAGACCTCGGACCACGTAATCACAATTTACCACGGTCTGAATACGCAGTTGTATTTTTATTTCTAATTTTTTACTTTTCCGTTGGTTTTTTTGGGACGGCCTCGGTCTTCTTTTGTACTATGAAAACGCATTAGTCATGTCCCCCCGCACGTTTAGTTGGCCTCGCCGTCGCAGCGGCGCGTCGCGCACGATGAGAACGAATAACAAAATATTACTATCTACGCGACCTACTACGTGCATAACATCAAATATGAATGTGCATATGCTACATGTACGTGTATACATTATCCGTATGAACTTAATACACAACTATAGTTTCGGGTCAGTGGTAACAAAAAACGAAAAAAAAAACTCCGTTACCGTAGGCAATGTCGGATTAAACATTTGTGGGTCCCTAGGCAATTAAAATGTTGGGCCCTACAAAATAATTTTTAACATTCCTATCCCAATAATTAAAATTAACAGTTTTAATAATAACCAAATATTATTTATAAACAAAATTGTGTTTATTGAATTTTTTTATTTGCAAGAAAAATCAATAAATAATTATATTATTTCTATTTTTTTCAAAAAAAAAAAAGTATTATTATTACTGCCTATAACGCCTACAACTTAATATATATGTATATATTATACTTCATAATGACTTTGATCCCGTAAATTCTTAAATAAAATACATGTATTGTTAAATAAAAAAAAAAATATATAGTTTTCCGTTTTCACAGGACCTCATAAATGAGTGAGGCCTTAAGGCGGGCGCCTACTCCGTCTAATGGGTAATCCGGCACCGACCGTTGGTACCTATCTATGACATACATACTCGTATATGTGGCTGCCATCGACAAATAACGAACGTAATATTTCGTCGTAAATAACATGCAGCTTCAACATACAACGACACACGCCAAACACACTCATGTACGTGGACAAGTTTGCAAATAAATATTATAATAACACACGTGAACGCTTCCGATGTTTTTGTAACAAGATGTGGGAAAAAAGCGCATAATTAACAAATATAAATTTAGTACGTTTAGAGAAAACAAAGATACAAAGTTTTACGTTGTACAAATCGTTGCGCAAATCAATAATTGTCAATAAATAGCGTCAACATTTTTATTAATATGTAGGTACCTAAATGTGTTATTTTTTTAGATATATACGGTTGCCAAACGTGTTACATCCAAAAATTAAATGCCGTGCTAAATATTACATCGGTAGGCAACGAAATATTAGTTGAAATAAACACTCATTTTATCCAGAACAATTTGGAAGAAACTCCAGTAAATCGGTAATAAATAATACGTAATTTTTATAAAATAAAAGCAGTAGACAACATTTTAAAATACCTAATATCTATACCAATTACGTATTTAGAGGGGATAGAGAGGGCTCGGGTGGCATTTTTTTAGGGGCGGCATAAGATTTTTACATAACCCATTTTATGTTGATGAATAATAATATAAATTGGTTAATTTTCTTTTTTTATCTAAGATAATATTCTAAGATTGGAAATATTCATATGAGGAGGGGGGGGGACAAAAACTATCGACGAAAAAGCTCTCCTTCAAAATATAAATAAGCAAAAAAAAAAGTCTTTGGTAGGTATTGTTTAAAGTTTAAACTGTGCTTTCTTTTTCTAACAACAAAAAATTGTTCAATGGACATTTTTGATTAAATAGTCAATGAGAACTGGTTCCACCAGAGAACACAAAAAGTAAATATATTAAAAAAAGAAATGTAACAAATAAATTAGAAAGCGCTTGAAAAGATAACGATAATGTAAAAGCTGTTATACGGAATACGGGTGGTTACTGGAAAGTAACAGACAGTAAAAGTAAAAGGACACGCTCAGTAGGTGGAAAAAGTTAAATAATTTGTGTTTGTGTGTGGGGAGAGGCGAAAAAATGTTAGCACACGGGCGCCAAATTTCCAAATACGTCTCTGATCTATACTCAATTAATGGTTTAAATGTTCATCGGATTTTGTATATCCGAGTAAATGCGTATTTTGGGGTTTTTGCTCTTGGATCATATTTATCACGTTGCACAATTGTTTATGAATATTTTTCATACTTTGACAAATGTATTTGATTATTTTATCGGAGTTTTTACAGTCTGATAAAATAATACAAAACAACAGCAATAAAATGTCCATATTATGTGTGTTGGACTCAAATGTACTTCATATTTTTACTAAAAGTATTATAATACAATGGTAGTTGATGATTATTACACCGGTACAGTAAGATATTAATGAATACAAGGTACCTACATTTATAGTAGGTCCGGTTGTTTATACTTTCAATATGAGCACCGTTGGCTTTCCGTAACGTAAAATATCTTATATTATTTCACAACGGGTCGCCGACGGTATGTTGTTCGAAATCGTATTCGAATATAAATCGCTTTTAAGCAGGCCGCTTGACTGTTGAAAAACGTTAAAGAGCGTTCGGGAGTGGATTGTTTATCGGTTTTAAAATTTAAAAAATAATATTATGTGTCCTTCAGACGTTTCTTTTTGGTCGTTATAACTGGTTTCACCGAAGCACTTAACATGTACATGTATACATGTAGACACACGCGCACGCACGTGCATCGTATCGAAATCGTATCTGTCTCCGAGATTATTACTAAAGATTATTATTATTAGATAGATTATTTTGGAGGCTCGTTTGTCGTTCTACGTTCTACGTTTGATACATGTAAATACCGTCCATTCTCTGTCCTCGTTAAAGCGGGTCTTATGTTGAAAATATTTTTTCACGGAACAAGTTTTTTTTTCCCCCTCGTTTTACATTAAACTACTGCGTAGTACACAATAACAATGATGGCCGCCGCGTTGGCATCGCATACAATGCGTCGCACGGCCGTACGTGCGTGCGCGTACACCGCACCTGCACATTTACCCCTCACCACTTCCCACGATACCGAATTCCTATCGAGGGGCGTCGCTGCACCCGACCGAAGATACGTGTTGCCAACGTAGGCAATCGTATACAAAATATAATAATAATAATTTATTTTATGTATACACGTATCGATGATCAGGATCGTTTTGACATTTTGCTGTTCGTCTAATAACTATTTGCCATAAATATCTCTAGGAATTAGTTTTCACTGTATCCTGTATGCTGTACACGCCAAGAATTATATTTTACACGTCTCGCACGTGTTTCGTTCGATTTTTTTCGGATACGTTTTAACGAAACTTGCATACACGAATATATTTCGATCGTTCTTCGTGCATTATTTTAAGCCCCAAATCCGAATTACAAACAATCGTGCGTGTACATGCCCCACGTACCTGCATATGCACCATTATACGGTCCAAGGGAGCCGACAAGGTTTTTGTTATAGCCGCCGACGTTACTCCGGCCAAGCAGTGCCGTAACAGAACACCGGATTGCGATTTCGAACCGTCTGTTCTACCACCGTCGCTTGACGTCGACATGTTGTTATTATTATTTCTTTCGGGCCACGGTAGTAGGCATCAATGTTGCAAACAATATTACAATTGAATTGTTCACATCGATATCGCCCGGAAAAAATATGTTTAAGTGTTACTATATACACAGTATTGCAATCCGAGTGAATGCATTAGGCCAGACTATATCGTACTGTTCAAATCAAGAATTATTAATTTTTTCACTAAATGTTTACTAAATTTTACTACAGTATAATCGTACACAATACGAAAATTCAAATCCAAAACGTGTGCACGGTATACGAATTATGACTGTTAAATATCAATGTCAATAATTAACAACGTTTGATCCATGCAAAGAGAAAAAGAGATAAAAAATAGAGAGTGAGAGAGAGAAAAATAGATGAAATAAGCATAGCTATAATTTTAATTATGTACTCCGTCAGGGTCGCATTTAGGGGGGAGGCACTGACTACAACTGCTTCGGGCGCCAGTTTTTTGGAGGCGCCAACATTTTGTGGTCGAAAATTTGCTCACTTGTGAATTATTGAACTTTTAAAATTTTTTTGAAATTATTATTTTTTTTTTTTTTGTTTGTTTGTAATAACAGTATCATGGATTAATGTTAATGTATTATGTTAATGTATTATGCTGTTTGGAATTTAAACAACTATGAACTAATATATGTATAGTAATATAGCTATCAGTGGTCCAGAATAATAAATTATACCTAATATTAGTTCTCAAATTTGTTGTGATAATGTCAATAAATATAAGTTATTTAAAATAATACGGTGTATTATGTTATCGCGTGTGGCGTGCCTACTACACAAAAATAGCATTGATTTTAGAATATCTAAAAGGTTCATTAGAATCTATCTCTTATACCTTCCGTGGGTAGATTCCTTAGAGGGGCGCCAATTTTTTTTTTTTTTACGCCGGGCCACAAAATTTCTAAATGCGGCATTGTACTCCGTATAACAACATTAAAAGTAAATGCACATACACTTTCAGTGATTAATTATACGTTATTTATTAGAAAATGTAAATTAGATTATAAAAGTTTAAAAAGAAAACACTAGCAACAAATGGCAATGAATCCAATATCTAATTTAAGGCGTACCTGTATGACATACGTTACAATATTATATATTACAATGTATTTGTACTAATATAAATTATAGAATACATGTTATACGTAAAATCGAAAATAGTAAAATAAACACATAAATATAACAATATGTGTACTCTTTTTTTATTATTTTCGTTCTACTTGTTTTTCAGATATTGTATCGTACAATAAGAAGTAAAACTACACACCACCGCAATTACTATTGTTCATATTATGTAGTCCTGCTGCCCCCTTTTCGTCACCGACTAATAGAGTGTACGGGTTATACGAGAAACAATGCTACAAAAAAAAAAAAAAAAAACCGTTGACATTAGACATATATTATTATATTATATAATATTATTAGTTCATACACGTATCGTATTATTTTCCTATTACAGGTAAAGATTCAGCGTTTCGTGTTCATCCAAAATAGTGCAGACCAAGGACGTATTAAGTGTTGACATTTAAAATATTAACACCAATATCGTTAAAAGTTAAAATTCAAAATCACTTAGATTCTATATTTCTATCTCACCTTGATGTATACCTTGAGGCAGTGATTTATTTTGTAATTTATATTTGAATCCAAACACATATGTACTAGTACAAATCATATATACTCGAAGGTTTGATATAAAAAAAAATTATATAAATAAATTTAAAAAATAATTTTTTATTAATGATATAAAAACTAAAAACAAGCGTATAATAAGTAAAATATATTATATATACTCTGCGACTCAAAGCGCGCATACTAGAAGTATAAAGTTATCGTACGAATTGCTACGTTAAAAAAAATAAATATATGTGGGGCCTAAAGTATATTGCTAGTTTGTACTATTTGTAGAACAATTGTTTTCTATAGTCTTTTTCAGAACAAAAATCATGTAAACTTAATTAAAAATATGTTAACTATACATATAATTTTTCACTTGAAATTTTCGTAGTACATATACATTACAAGAAACAAGAATATCAAATTAAAAACGAACATTATGGATTATTAATCGACATGTATTAGATATTGTGTGTGGTACACCTCTTGCCAGATTACATGCTTATAGATTATTCTTCGTTGGTCATTGGTGTTTGAAATATTTTTTATAATCATCTGAGTAATACAAATATATAAAAATCTAGAATTTATACATCGCAATACTGAGAAATGAATATTGAAAATTTAAAAAACATACAATATTTTGTTTATGTGTCTGAATATTTTAATAAATATACGGGGCTATATATAAGACCGTGCACCCGCGAATGATTGCAATTTCAGTGAATATACTTGAAAAATGAGTAAACATCTGTAAACCATCAATACACTACTGAATATATATGTACGTGCAGCCGGTCATCTAATATATTGACCGGCTTCACGTGCTGCATACTACGCGTTAATAAACACAATAAATTAACGTTGTAGAAAAGACGCGTTCGCATTATTAATATAAATGTATAGTATACGATATTTAGACACATATTTTTATCATGATTAAAATTGTTGCATCAACTTGAACACGATGTGCAAGAAACGGGTACATGTATGCGCGTGCGCATAAAAGTCATTAAGGCCCTATTATAATATATTGCGTCGTATTGATTTTTTCGTTTTTTCCCGTCCAGATAAAAACGCAAGACGAGAAAGATGAAGTAAATATTGGTTTACACATTATATGTCATGGTTACAGTTTGCAGATTATTGGCTGGGCTTCGCTCAGAAATATTAGCCATCATGTCTTGGAACATGCAAGCATATGGTGTAATTAATTTCACGTGCACGAAGACACTCGCGGTTGTTAATGCGTTACAGATTTCTTAAAATGAGTTGTTAATAATACGTAACACTTTTTGGTATAGATTTTAAAATATGTACAAAGTTAATGAAGGCAAGTTACGTGTCCTCGGTTACTTTCTCGGGATACGGAGCGTATATATGGGTTTTTATTTTTTTGTAGATTTTTTCTTTTTTTAGGCACACTTTGCGTCGGTATTTCAATGGGAACCAATATATATGTAATCAAAACGATAATATAAAATGTTACCAGTCGTTTACTGTCACCCGTTTGAAAGTCATCGGCGAACGAGTCGTCAAAGCGGTCGACCTACGAGGAGGAACGAGGGGTGGTGGGTTTTCTCGCGTCGGATCTCGATATCGCCATTTTGAATTTATTTTCTCTTAACTGCGTACGTGCGCTGGGTCAAGATATTATTATTATTATTATTGCTGCACACACAGACAGGCGCCGTACGGAGTTTCTATATATTTTTTTT